TTGGGAAAAAAATGTACTGTGCACTGTTATAGAGGGTTGCTTTTCCCTTTACCTGGGCTACTCAGGAGATGTCTCAAGTTACAAACAAGACCTCCTCTAGTATTTTGCTTTGTTTTTTCATAAAACCTTGCGTGGTTGCAAATTAATTGTAGTTTAGATGCTTCCTGAATTCTAAATAATAGCGTTTGTTAAATTTGGAAGTTAAATGTAAGCATTAACTATAGAAAATAGATTTACCTAAACTGATAATCTAGATGAGATTTGCTCTAAGATGTGAAAGATCTCAATTTAATTTCCTTTATTAATGATAGGAAAGGATGTGACTTTATTCAAGTAGTTGATCTATTTTATTATATCTGCAATTGGTGTGAAGTAAAAAGAAACAAGCTGAGAGGTAGCTTAACTTACTGTGAGGGGTGAGATCTGAACTAGTAAGTAAGTTTCCTTTATTCTCAGACACAAGAGGGTAAAACTTTATTCAAGTAGTTGGTCTACTTTGTTCTATCTACAACCAGTTATGAAGTGTGAAAGATCGGAACTTAGTAATTTTCCTTAATTCTTAGAGATAACAAGTATTTTAAAAGATTTTAAAAATATTAAAGTAGTTGACTGTTGTTATATCTGCAACTGGTATGAAGCAAAAAAAGTGAGCAATATACTTTTGTTGATATTTGAGACATGTTGTTATCTTGAATTTGCCGAAAAAATAGTAAAAGTGAAATGATTTGCAGTACATTTAGAAATAACCTTTAGATCTTGTATTTCAGTGAGATTGCTTAAATTCATTTAAGAATTGTATGTACACATCAAATTTCTAAAATAAAATGTATAACATCAGAAAATATATGCAATGTGTTCAAAGAATAAAAGCAGTTTAAAAATAAAAATAAAAAAATGAAAAATTTGAACAGTCTTTTATGATATTAAAGATTTTGAATTAATTTGTGATTATAATGCTGTGATGATAATATTTTCAAAAAGAGTCCTCACTGAGGGGAAACATGCTGACATAATTATAGACGAAACATGATGTCTGAGATTTCCTTTAAAAAAAATAGGAAAAGTAAGTGCAAGCTGGTAACTGTAGACCATGCCTGACAAAGACGGGACGGTTCTGTTATGTCTACTTTTGTGTGTTATTGAAATTTTGGATTTGAAAAAGAATGATAGGAATGACAGGTCCACCTAGAATAACAGCAGCTGAATCTCTCAACATACAATTCCGAGGCTAGGAACTCACAGAGAGCGTCAAGGACACCACTCCAAACCCTGCCCCAAACAACCAGGGGCCAGAGAACACTGTGGACATGACTTGGTTTGAATTCAGCTAGGTCTGCGAGCCACACAGCAGCGGGGGGGTCAACAAAGACCCTGCATATAGAGGAGAGCACGGCAGGGAGGAGGACTCCGCACAGAACTCGGGTAAAATAACTCACAGAAAGAGCATGTGGGTGAACTCAGAGGATGTCTGAGACATGGTTGGCCCTAGCTCTGGTGACTAGGGAATTGATAGGAAGGAGTTCACCAGTGTAGAGGACCAGAGGGTGACAATCTTGAGGGGGCATAATTACTGGGATCAGGTTTGAGACCAAGCTGAAGGGAGCATCCTTTGGACACTTGTGATGAAAAAAGAATGGTGCAACTGGCAGAAATGAAAGGTCCTACTGGAAGAAATAGAATCCCCAAAGCAAGAGACACACCATGCCTTACCCCCAAGCCTTAGCTCTGCTAGTGTAATTGCACAAGACAGACCTAGAACAAAGAAATCAACCAAGCTCCTCAAAGCACTAATCCCTTCTGACCTGCAGCAACTGTTTCTCATTCAGGTAAACCCAGTCATGTGAAAATGAAAACTATATAGCAGAACTTTCTTTCATGATGACAGAAGAAAAAAGTGTAAAATGAGAGTCAAAAATTTCAGCAAATGAAAAGATTACCTCAAAATCAATCAAAGAACATTGGGAAATGTAAAATGGCGTCCATATTTTGAATTGTTCTGAACAAAGCGTTTGTAGACACACACATGGAAAAAACTTCAATATTTTATGTAAGAAATACAGAACATGAGATAGAAGTAGACAGGAAAGAAGAAATGAGAAATTGGAACTGGCAGAGATTAAAAAAAATTGAAGGTAAAGAAAATTCTTTGAAAAAAAAAGGCTAAATGACAAGGTACATAGAGAACATACTTATCTAAACTTATAAGGGAGGCTGAATTAAAAATGACAGCATCAAACAGAATAGAAATGAACAAAAGGTAGTGAGAAAGGATCAGAGAGAAAGTCATAGAGACCTAGGGGAAATAGACCTGGAATGGTCAGTTCTAAGACCTATCTTAGTAGAGCTGAAAGACTTTTTTTCAAAAAGAAAAAAATCTCCTGAAGCTCCAGACCACCCTTTGCCCTCAGTGAAGAAAAATCAATTTACATTCTACATCTCAGCAGAACATACAAAGTAAGACANCCTGAAGCTCCAGACCACCCTTTGCCCTCAGTGAAGAAAAATCAATTTACATTCTACATCTCAGCAGAACATACAAAGTAAGACATTATTTCTTTTCAAAAATCAATAGAACTCATTGTGAACGAGGCCTTTATATTTAGCCAAGGTGTCTGTACTGTATCAAAGCAACAGAAAACAAGTATTAAATATACCAAACTTAAGGAGTCCTCAGTCCATTGTGAGAAATCTTTAAAGATGAACTCTGCTCATCAAGGATTGACAGGAAACTATGAGTTTTGTACATCTGGTCATCACTGAATATATGTGATTGTAGATTTAAGCCACTGAGTCGTGGGCCCTGCTCTGGGGGCAGCCTAGGTACACCTTCTAACTTCTGCAGGGAGGCTGCTAGTACTCCCAGAGTGGGACAGCCATCCTGTGCCACCAAGGGGTCGAAAGGACCCAGGGGGCCCCTCCTCCAGCTCCTGCCTCTACCCTACCAACTAGCACATTAACAAAAAAAGGTAGGGAAAATACGGTATATAAAGGGCATACATTTGATTGGGTTTAGATAATACAATAAGGTAATAATACTATCAGGTAGGTAAAGACAGAAGAAAAAAGCAGAATAGTGTCCTCGATCATCATAGTAGCAAAAAGTTGAAGTTGATAGATAACAGTTAAAACATATACTTCAAATATTAGAAATGTGACAAAATACTAAAGGACTAACATGTCAAAAATGTTAGTGCACTAACTAGCTATCCAGGCCTTCCAAAATACCAAGCAAAACACACACACACACAAATATGCATACACAAAGAAAATAAAATCACAGAGGAAGAAACAGAGAAGATACCATCTACTACAAATGGTAAACATAGATGAAAAGATGTAAGAGGAGTTTAAGATACAAAACTGAATAGGAGAAACAAAGGCGCTTCCCTGGTAGCTCAGCTGGTAAAGAATCTGCCTAGGATTTAGGAGACCCCGGGTCGATTGCTGGTTGTTGGAGTCCCTGAGAAGGGATGGGATACCCACTCCAGTATTCTTGGGCTGCCCTGGTGGAATCCGCCTGCAATGGGGGACACCTGGGTTTGATCCCTGGGTTGGAAAGATCCCCTGAGGTAGAGCATGGCAACCCGCCCCAGTATTCTTGCCTGGAGAATCCCCATGGACACAGGAGCCTGGGGGCCTACAGTCCATGGGGGTGTAGAGAGTCGGACACAACTGAGCAATTAAGCACAGCACAGCACAAGAGAAACAGAGTCTTGATATTAATAAAATCACGCTAATAATGGACTGTGGGTAGGGGAGGGGTGGGAAGGAGGTTCAAGAAGGAGGGGACATATCTATCCTTACGTTTGATTCCACAGGTGTATGGCAGAAACCAGCACAACACTGCAAAGCAGTTAGCCTCCAATTAAAAATAAGTGTAAGAAAATAAGGGACTATAACACTGAATTTTAAAAAAGCATGGGCCCACAGTGAAACACAAAAACATTTTTAATAACACGTTAGGGGTAGGGATTGTCTTTTCCACAGCACAAAGCTGGCAATACCACAGACATGATAATTGACACACATCAGGGATCAATAAAGGATGGTACAATGTTTACAGAAAGAGCACCATAGAATATGATATTCATACACTCTCAAAATACCACTCATCAAATTACTCATTACAGACACAAAAGCCTGTCTTTTCAATGAACAGATCTTCTAAGCCTCTACATAACAGTGTTCAAAGCTAAAATGATGATAGGGGTGACAGGTAAAGTGGACACTCTTAGCCTCCAAACAGGCTGCACTAGGAAGCACACAGCATGTACTAGATGGTGTTCCTGGCAAAAAGGGTTCACCTGAATTTAATCATGAGGAAATGATCAGACAACTGCAAAATGTAGACCTTTGAGTAGACAACTGACCTATCCTCTGCAAACAAGTCAATGTCACGACCATCAAAGACAACTACAAGAAGCTGAGGAGATGTTTGAGGTTCCAAAGGACTAGAGAAATAAAGTAACATGATCTTTTTAGTCCTTTGGAACCTAAAACATCTCTTCTCCTTTTTGTAGTCTTTTGGTGCAAACATCGACTGTTTGAAGAAAGACAGGCCAGTTATCTGGTTCAAAGGTCTAAATTCTGCAGTTATCTGACATCTACCTCAATATTAAACACAGGATAAACACTTTCAGCAAGAACAATGCATAGTAAATGCTGTCTGCTCTGAGCAGTCCATCTGGTGGCAAAGAATGACTGGGTTGATAGGTTGTCTTCTTCCAGTTGTTCCCATGCTGGTGTGTGGAGGATGAATATTTAGAGGCGCAAGAGTGAAGGTCTTTCCAAACTGTGTGTCCATCAAAGCACTGATCACATTACTGAGGATTACATTCCGAGGCTGATGACTGGGATTACTCCCATCAATTCTGTCCCTTGGGGTGTGGAGCGTGGTTGTCGGTTGGGATGCTCATTCTCAGGAAAGGATCCCTCCAGTGTTGCTGAGGTTTAAATTGAGTTGCTGTTGTAGATTTTTTTTTTAAACACAGGATAAACACTTTCAGCAAGAACAATGCATAGTAAATGCTGTCTGTTTTGAGCACAGTCCATCTGGTGGCAAAGAATGACCGGGTTGATAGGTTGTCTTCTTCCAGTTGTTCCCATGCTGGTGTGTGGAGGGTGAATATTTAGGGACGCAAGAGTTCAGGTCTTTCCAAACTGTGTGTCCATCAAAGCACTGATCACATTACTGAGGATTACATTCCGAGGCTGATGACTGGGATTACTCCCATCAATTCTGTCCCTTGGGGCGTGGAGCGGGTTGTCGGTTGGGATGCTCATTCTCAGGAAAGGATCCCTCCAGTGTTGCTGAGGTTTAAATTGAGTTGCTGTTGTAGATTGTTTTTCATCAAATGGAAAAGGTATATTTTATAGTGTGGTTTCTCAAAATGACAATATCTTTTCTTAGTTCCTAAAGTAATTGGTATCTGTGAAAGACAGAGAGAGGGAGAGAAGCAATGTGAGTGTTTGTTAGGTCCTGCTGAGCCTGGAGGGATGGCCACATGGTGACTGGGGTCAGGAGCAAACAAAGCTCCTGTCGACAGGACGAGCTGAAGGGAGAGCACAGGCTGGCTGGAGAGGAGAGTGAGATCCGTGATTTAGAAGGAACACCTCCCTAAATTTTCCTCTAGCCTGTGGTGCCGCGTTGAAGGACCCCTCCTCACCCCACCTGTGCTTGGTGATGTCTCAGCTCAGAGCTGCTTCAAACCCTTAACTGGATCCCCACCGCTCAATCCTCAACAGTCATTTCACTCTTGAATCCCCCTCATCTGTACGCTTTCCCACACATTCAGGGATGGACATGCTGAGCGTCCCTCATACACAGCTGGAAACAGACTGCTATGGGAGCAGAGGATCCTCACTGAGAAAGAACCCTCTTCTACCTCTTCATCCCTGCCCTCTGAGGAGGAGACACAGGCTACCGAGAGTCCTGGATGTGAGCACCAACAGGGACCTCAGAATGTATCCAAGTCCAGTTCCATAATTTACAGGGGAGGAGCTATGTTTTCAAGGTCTAAGGACTATCCATAACCACGTGACTTGTTACTGACCACCCAGGCCACAGGCCCTTCCTACACATTTGCGGGAAGGGAGAGGAGAAGAGAAAAGCTCCCATCTGGAGGAGTCAACAGTTAATAGAGGCTGTTTGGTCATCCTCCTGGACAGGAATAAAGCATTCCAGGGAAATCCTGCTCCAAGGAGACTGAGGAATGAATGGAAAGGGGGGAAACTCAAAATAAAATGAGCAAAAAGAATAGGAAGTGTAACTGTGTCTCAACCCATTTGCATCCTGTGGACACCAAAATGCTATGAAGGTGATTTCATGCTGGATCTACCTTAAGGCATTTTTAGGAATATCCTTGACATCTACACAAATCAAACTCTGAAGTGAAAGAGCATTCAGTTTAGTTATACTAAATTCTCATCACCTTTTCCCCAAACTTTTCTCTAAGAAAGAGTCTCTCCTAGTATTTTATGCTAGTGTGTAGAAAAACACCTACTTCTGCTTTCTTGACTAGGCCAAAGCCTTTGAATGTGAGGATCACAGCAAACTATGGAAAATTCTTAAAGAGATGGGAATACCAGACCACCTTAGCTGCCTCCTGAGAAACCTGTAGGCAGCTCAAGAAGCATCATTAGAACTGGACATGGAACCCGGAATGGTTCCAAATTGAGAAAGGAGGATGTCAAGGCTGTATATTGTCATATTGATTATTTAACTTAAATCCAGAGTACATCATGTGAAATGCTGGGCTGGATGAAGCACACCTGGAATCAAGATTGCCAGAAGAAATATCAATAACCTCATATATGCAGATGACACCACCTTTATGGCAGAAAGCAAAGAAGAACTGAAGAGCTTCTTGATGAAAGTGAGAGATGAGTGAAAAGGGTGGCTTAAAACTATGCATTCAAAAAAACAAGGATCATGGCATCTGGTCCCATCACTTCATGGCAAATAGATGGGGAAACAATGGAAACAGAGACAGACTTAATTTTCTTGGGCTCCAAAATCACTGCAGATGGTGACTGCAGCCATGAATTTAGAAGACGCTTACTCCTTGGAAGAAAAGTTGTGATAAACGGAGACAGCAGATTGAAAAGCAGAGATGTGACTTTGCCAACAAAGGTCCATCTACTCAAAGTTACAGTTTTTCAACTAGTCATGTATGGATGTGAAAGTTGGACCATAAAGAAAGCTGAGTGCCAAAGAATTGATGCTTTTGAACTATGGTGTTGGAGAAGACTCTTGAGAGTCCCTTAGACTGCAAGGAGATCCAACCAGTCCATCCTAAAGGAAATCAGTCCTGAATATTCATTGGAAGGACTGATGCTGAAGCTGAAAAGGCAATACTTTGGCCACCTGATGTGAAAAACTGATTCCTTAGAAAAGACCCTGATGCTGGGAAAGATTGAAGGCAGGAGGAGAAGGGCACAAAATAGGATGAGATGGTAGGATGGCCTCACCGACACAATGGACATGAATGTGAGCAAGGTCTGGGAGTTAGTGATGAACAGAGAAGCCTGGCGTGCTGCAGTCCATGGGGTCGCAAAGATTTGGAGACAACTGAGGAACTTAACTGAACTGATAGATGGGTGTGTAAAAGGATAAACATAGCAGGATAAAGCCTAATATTCATTACGGGGTTTTTGCATAAAGAATATATTCAATGAAAAATCTTTGTTGCATCTGCTCTTCTGAGCCAGTTAGTAGTCTGTGAAACATGTTTAGTGAATAGTTAACTGCAAGTTGCATTTTAACATTAGAAAAGGAAATACTAAATTGTATTCTTGTGGCAAGGGGAGGGTCCATTTTATACTTTGAGGCATTTGTAATATTTGTTTGTTTGTTTTATTGTATCTTGTACTATGAAAATTGTGAGACACTTGAATCCAAACAGAGAGATTATATATCTAACTTAACTAGCTGCATCTCTTTTTTTCTCTTTTCTCTTCTCCAGGCTGTACAAAATAGCTCTGTTGAGAGAAGAATGCAAATTGCCTTAATTGTTGATATTCAGCTTTTTGAGGAAGCAGCCACTCATAGGCCATTGCCATATTGGTTATTTATATCCTATTAGATCCACTGTCCTCTGATCCTTGATGCATATTAGCAGAGCTTTGAAAGATACTGATATCCAAACCTCATCCTCAGAACTTTAAAATCAGAATTTCAATAGACTGGGTTAAGGCATTCATGTTACCTCAAAACCCTATCCGTTTTCATTTTACGATAGCATGATTTAGAACTACATGCTAGACCTACACTATTTCACATCACTCTCTTTATTTTCTCCTTCTAGTCCAATATGGACTTCTCTCCACTGGCCCTAAAGATTTTTTGTTCTTTTTCTGTTATTCTCATATAAATAACTGGCCTTCAGAATTGGATTGTCAGAAGCAATGATTATCTTGTATTCTTGTGTATCTCCCTGGGTCTTCACAAATGTGGCCCAAGTTAATTCAGTATAATGCTGTCCTACATTCCCTGACCTCAGACTTCAACTCAGTTCATTTTTCTGGGCTTTGACTAATACTGAGAAGGAAGAATGTGAGTAAAACTGGAGAGATCTGAGCGTTGTCCATCTCAGGCTCTGTGTATTTTGAAAACCTGACTTCTCTATCTCCTTTTCCCCAAGGTCCCTTTAGGGAGCCATTTACTGCCCTCCCCCTAATGCCAGCTCCAGTGAGTTCCTGGAAGCCCCTGCACATTAGCCAAGTTCTGCACATCAGGGCCTGAGGGGAATCATGACTCAGGCCAGTCCAGCACTCCCACCTATGACCCAGGTTCTCCTTTTATTTTAGTAATCAAGGCTTTTTCCTTCAGTTCTGGCATTTCTTATTCCGGTGGAAAAGCTGAGGGTTAAGGACTGTCCTAGGTGCATTTCTCCAGAAGCCAACTCACATGTGAGTGATTCCTTAAGACATGATCCTGAAAGCAAGAGGCAGTAGACTTGGAGGCAGGGGGGGAAGTCCGGTGAAGAAACCAAGAATGTGTGTGATTGAAGGCCAATGTTTTCAGTGGCTTAAATGCTGCTCCTCTGATGAGGAGGACCATGGATCTGGGCTTCCCTGTGGCTGATAGGAAAGGTCAGAGGGAACATGAGGACGGCAGCAGAGCGAAAACAGTAGAGTCAGAGTGGACACAGGAGAGTGAGGGGGAAGGGCACTGCAGGGAGGCAGCCCCCACGGGAAAGAGAGGGAAGACCACAGAGCTGTGTCAGCTGTTGAGTGAACAAATGAGGAAGAGAAAACTTAGTGGGAGACTGAGCCATGACAGATAAAGAGCCTAAGGAAGAGGTGCATGGGATTACCTCTGTACCCTAAGCCTGAAGGCCAGGGAATCTGAACGCTAGTCTCCACTTGCCAAACCGCAGTTTTCTTCTGAGAATCTTCTGTTTTAGGCCACTTAAGCCTTTAATCTTCTTACAGACTGGCTGCTCATGTGTGCTTGCTGTGGAGCCCTCACCTTCCAGCTTGGGAGGGTTCTTCATTCTGATGGAAGCATCCAGCTCTGAAGAGAAAACCACAGCCAACAGGATCCATTGTTATTCATGATTTACAAAGACTTACTCCTTCACCCAAGAAGGACATCAGGTACCAAAAGTGTCCAGGAACGAGAAAGGCCATCTGAAAGCCCATGGGTAGGTGAAGCCAGTGGAGATAGTTTTATATTTTCTTTTTTGCTAATCTTTCTTGTACTAGCCAGTATTGTTAAGGGTGCCACAGGGCAAACGTGTTTCCAAATGCCAGAAATGAATCAAGGAAAATAAAATGGATGACAACAAAAAATTCCTAGGTAGAAAAGACAAAGGCAAGAAACTCCTCCAGGATGCAGTTTGTACTGTTGGAGGGAAGAGATGAAGCAAAGTCAAAGTTGAAGGAAAACCTCATGAGAGAAAAGAAGTGGGGAAGTCTAAATTGGAAAACTTTTAAATGTGCATCAATATACACTTCATAGATATGGAAACACACTACATATGATATTTATTCATAATTTATATAAGACATAGATATGATAAAAATGGAAGAAAACTCACAGGTGAGTGTGTTTGTGATGGAATAAATGAATGAAGGATTTGAGCTATTGAATGGATTGTTCTATTGGCTTCCTGATGAGTTGAATTTGGTAACGAAAATAGAAAAATAAGAAGAATGAGAAAGAAGCTCTATTTGGTGACAGGAACTAGGAGATATGGGGGGGCAGGTGGGAGTCACAGTGTGAGGGGGTGTGAAAGTAAAGGGCATTAAGACTACCCTTTGCTGCAAAATCTGCTGTGAAGCCTGGATTTATGCTCAGGTCTCCATGGAAGGTGAGCAGGAAACAGAGTGACTGAGCCAGTGGGGTTCAGTCTTGGCTGAGAATGGGGGAGACCANGTTTGTGATGGAATAAATGAATGAAGGATTTGAGCTATTGAATGGATTGTTTTATTGGCTTCCTGATGGGTTGAATTTGGAAACGAAAATAGAAAAATAAGAAGAATGGGAAAGAAGCTCTATTTGGTGACAGGAACTAGGAGATATGCGGCGCTAGATGGGAGTCACAGTGTGAGGGGGTGTGAAAGTAAAGGGCATTAAGACTATGCTTTGCTGCAAAATCTGCTGTGAAGCCTGGATTTATGCTCAGGTCTCCATGGAAGGTGAGCAGGAAACAGAGTAACTGAGCCAGTGGCGTTCAGTCTTGGCTGAGAATGGGGGAGACCAAGAACAGGAAAAGGAGAGACAAGCAGAAGAGGAGACAATAAACACCACAAGACCTACTGGCTCTTGTCAGGCTCTGCACCCCTCCCTCCCTGAGCACTTTCCGTGAGATTCTGCACGCTACACCAGGGGGCTCCTTCTCAGCTCAGCTCCACCTGAGGATGTGGGTCTCCCCTGGATCCTCACTGGAAGCCATAGCATGAGGNGCACCAGGGGACTCCTTCTCAGCTCAGCTCCACCTGAGGACGTGGGTCTCTCCTGGATCCTCACTGGAAGCCACAGCCTGAGGGAGGAGCACCAGGCAGCCCCAGGCTCCAGTGGAGGATATGGAGAGTGATGGAGGGTAAGGATGAATACGTCCGAGATGAAATGGATGTGAGGGTCTGAAAGCTCTTTGAAGGAAATTTGAACAGAGGTGCATCCAGAGGAGAGGAAGACTAGGAGATGGAAAAGGAGCTGAGTGGAGAGAATGAATTAAATGGAGTGTCATAAAAGAGACTGATGGATGCACTTCAAGAATGAGGGTAGCCCTTTATTTTAAAATGAGGGGAAAAAGAGGAAAAGAAACTGGATATGAAGAGCAAACACGGGACTGAGTTGCAGGGCCAGTGTTTACACTCCTATTGCATGCTGCTAAGACACTGTTACTGGGAGCACCCAACAGGAGGAAATTGCCTTGATGACAGATGTTGAAAGGAGAGGAAAATACTGGCCAAGCTACCTTCCTGAGAAAGCAAGGAAAAATGAGGTTTAGAGAAAGCAGAGACCATAAAGCTTATGCTACCATAGAGGAAACAACCATTGTGCAATCATTTTTAAGCGTTAAAGCACCAGAAAGACACAATGCTTAGATATGATATATTCATAGTGGTTATCAAACAAATTTTAGCGAATCAGATGCCCTGTACATTATATTGTTGAAGATTCCCAACCGTCATGCAAAGGAGATAGATCTTTTCAAGAATTCAGATGAGGGACAAGAGAGGCAAATACCTAGGAAGATGAATAAGTTGGCTCAGTTAAACAAGCAGGAGTTTGCAGAACCAGGTTGCTGCTAAGACACTGTTACTGGGAGCACCCAACAGGAGGAAATTGCCTTGATGACATATGTTGAAAGGAGAGGAAAATACTGGCCAAGCTACCTTCCTGAGAAAGCAAGGAAAAATGGGGTTTAGAGAAAGCGGAGACCATAAAGCTTATGCTACCATAGAGGAAACAATCCTTGTGCAATCATTTTTAAGCGTTAAAGTACCAGAAAGACACAATGCTTAGATATGATATATTCATAGTGGTTATCAAACAAATTTTAGCGAATCAGATGCCCTGGACATTATATTGTTGAAGATTCCCAAACATCATGCAAAGGAGATAGAATTTTTCAAGAATTCAGATGAGGGATGAGAGAGGCAAATACCTAGGAAGATGAATAAGTTGGCTCAGTTAAACAAGCAGGAGTTTGCAGAACCAGGGCCTGAGGCTGAGCTGGTCCTAAGTCCCAGGCTCTTGATCACCTCACTCTGGTAGAGGGTCACGGGTTTCAACTGGGCCGACAGTGTGTTTGGGAGAGGCCCTCTGCCTCCTCCACCCACAGCTTTGTGATGACCAGCACATGGACCAGAGCTTTCTAATCCCCTTTTCTTTCTTACCGAGAAAGAGTGGTCCTTGGTTTCCAGAATTAGGGTTGGTGGTAAAGGCCCAGTTAGGGGAAGAAAGACCAAGAATGGCTTTGCTGTCACCACAGTCAAGATGCTGGTCCAGCTGCCACTGCAGACAATCGGTCACGTGGGTGCTTTTCTGAAGCTGTGCCTGTGAAGTTGGCACATCTGACCCTGGGAAACTCACGGGTTCCTGGTGACAGTCCTCGCAGGTGTCACCTGAAAGGAAAAGGGGGTTCAGTAGTAGCAATGAAATCTTTTTCTTGTTAAGCCCTCCTAGAATGCCCATTTCTAATGTCCTAGCCAATAAGTGAAACTACCCAATAACCCAGACAACAAAGGCAGACATCAATATGAAGTCGGTGCCATATTTATGGTTGGGACTGGGGTGCGGAGAAGGCAGGTGCTAGGCTGCAATTTCTTGAAATGAGAAATCACCCACTTGAGTCGAGAGGGTTTGAGTGACACAGGAGGTCAAGCCTCTTATTCTGTTATTAGCCTTAGTCTTGGAGCCTAGAGAGAAGGTTCCACACAAGCCTCTACGCATGGGGGAGAAAGAGTTGTTGATATCTACCCACAGAAATAAAAGAAGAGGAGGAAACATATGGCATGAAAGCTTCAGGTCCTACTAGAATCTGAGCTGGGAAAATACAGTACATTCCAGACCCTTTGGAACTTCCTTGCTTGAAATTTTTGTCTACCCTACCACTCACCCGTACATGTACATATAGAATAAAATCTATTCCCACGTGGGGCAGAATGGGGATGGGTGGTATTAGCAGCTAGAACTAGTGGGGGAGAGGGCTGAGACCCTGTTGGAAACACCTTTGTGTCTCTTTAAAGAGATTATATGAGTACTCTCCTTCAATACACGTCCCTCCACTGGTGACTTGACAGTGCTCATAATGAAATGTGTTTATATATTTCTACTGCGAAATGAGTACATATTCTCAGAACCTGGGCTAACCAAAGGCACGAAGTACCCTCCTCTGGTGCAGGTCAGGCTGCTGTGAGGTCACGGCCGCCAGGGCCTGCTCTCCATTGCTGTGGGGCTCTCCTCTCACCTCCTTACGCATCCACACCCTCAACAAGCTTTGTTTCTCTAACTATCTCTCATGTGTCTGTTACCTCTCAGTGTTCCAGAGAGCATCTGAGTTTGACTCTCATCAAAGATTCATCCAACCTCCTTCCAACTGCTTCCTCTGATTCCGTCCTCTCCACACTCTCAAAGGTCACCTGGCTTATCACCCCCCAAGCCTGTTTTACCACATGTGCCTCAGTTTATGGAAATGCATCCTCCCTTCCCTGCTACACAGATTGAACCTCCTCACCCGCCTTTCCAGTGCTCCTGTCTTCTGTCCCTTTCTTCTGAAACATCACTTCCCACAACTCCCTCTGCACATCCTCCTAGGACTCAGGCTGGCCCCTTTCTGACCCCAGCCCTGTACCAGGAGCCTCTGTGAGCTTCCAGGGCTTTTTCCAAAACCACTTCTCTCAGTCTGGTGTACCCTTCATATTTCCACCAGGCAAACTTCAGTAAACATTAATCATCATGTTTTAGGACACTTCCTCAGATTTTATGATAATTCACATTGGGCTAAAGGGTAAATCCTTGTATATCAACAAATTTGGTGTCTGAAAGAACTGTCAAAACTATGTATCCCCTTATTCTCCAATGTTATTATAAATCGATGTCTAGGATTGTTTTTAATTAGCGTTGTGTAACTTCATCATCTAATTTTATTTGCCTTTCTTGAGAATGGGTTTTATTAAACCTATGCTTTGAATATTCTTTGCATTGACAGAATATATAATAACCAAACATTTTATCAATCATCAACAATACTGCCCAGTATTGTTAGTGTGGGGAAGAGCCTCCAATAGAAGATCAAGATGTAATGTAAAAATCAAGTGTTTGTGTTGTTTCTGCAGGGTTTCTCCTTGTACAGAGAGGACAGGCTAGACCTGACTAGTTGTATCCGCATGGCTCCATAATGGCTATTCACACTGTTCTCAGGTTATCATGCGAACCCAGACGCAGGATGGAAACGGTATAGTGACATATTCTAATCATTCATCTCAATCCATCTGTGGGGATTTGGCCTTTCCTGGCCCATTGTGAACAATGGACTCCCAGGACTGGGCCATATCACACACTCACAAACATCTCAGACACATATCTGAGTCACGTGTCTGAGCCTCACTCATCCTCTTCACGGGAACCCACACCCAGCGGTCAGTGTTTCTGAGATAGAGCTCCACAGTTTTCAATGGCTTCAGCACAGCCAAATTCAAGGCCTACCTGGACCCGTCGTGACAGCAGGTGACCTGGGGGCAGGAGTGGGGAGCGGCGTGGACTCTCACCCTGGCTGATCCCCAGAGAGAGCCCCGTGGAGCTGTGGCTCCACCTGGAGGGGCCGGGGANGAGGAAACAACCATTGTGCAATCATTTTTAAGCGTTAAAGCACCAGAAAGACACAATGCTTAGATATGATATATTCATAGTGGTTATCAAACAGATTTTAGCGAATCAGATGCCCTGGACATTATATTGTTGAAGATTCCCAACAGTCTTGCAAAGGAGATAGAATTTTTCAAGAGTTCAGATGAGGGTTGAAGAGGAGAGGACAGAGCCTGAGCCAGGGTGTCGGGCCCAGGAGAGGTCAGTGTCCCACCTGCCAGTGGCCAGGAGTCTGGGCCCACTGAAGGGACCTGCTGATCCTCAGTGCCCTCGGCTCCGCCGTGAGACACCACAGCTACCTGAGAGGGTGCCTGGGAGGCCTGGAGGGTTTACAGTGCACTAGGAGCTTGCTTAGGAAGAGAGTGTGGACAGCAGGTGCACAGTAACTGTGTGTTCCCTTTCTGGTTTGTGAACTACTGTGATCCTGAGAAAGCCTTTGCTTCTCTGCTCCTCAGGGAAGAATGAGAAATAAGAAAGAAACTGCTTCCAAGGAGAGAAGGCAACAACTGATTGATGGACAACTTTTATATGCCCAATATCATTTTCAAAGGAGTCAGATAATATCTGATATATAATGGAGTTTCTTCTTGTTTATCAAGATGATCTTACGAATCAAAGTCCTCACAATAAGAATGCTTCTCCTAAAAAAAAGTCAAAACAATAGCCCAAGAAGGATTTCATACTAGGTTTTAATTTCCACACCCTATGAACTGCTACCCAAGTGGACCTGGCCCATAAATTAGGTCAATACCCCCATCAGATACACAGGTTATGGATAGTTTCCATATTATACCACTGAGATTTCTTAAAACATTGAAATTATAACCCACACATGGAAAACTCCTTTTTGCTGCACAAAGGATGAAACACAAGGGTGTTTCTAGAGGTTGGAACAACTGAGACAGATATTTGGATTCACGGAAATGACAGGGCATAGGTAGATTTGATGCTTAGGATCTAGTATCTAAATGCTTCAGAGGGGGGTAGGCAGCAAAGGGGTAAGAATCTGGAGTTGGGCAACAATATAACATGCATTACAAATATGGAGCAGATTGCAATCATGAACCCAAAGCCAGAGAGCTTGCCAGAAACTATTCAAGAAATAAAATTAGCAACAAAATTTTGTGACTATAAGGATTCTTATGTTGAGGAAAAGAGCTCTGTTACACAAATTCCTGCAGGTGAGACAGTGGTAGCTGAGATTGTGCCCTTATCCCTCCACTTGCCCTCTCTGGTCTGACTTGATACCACAAGCCTGTGCTGCTGAGATGAGTTCAGGTGACAGAGGGCAGCCCGGGGCAAGAATGCAAAGGCTCATGATGCCTTTTAAAAGTTCAAACTGAGAACATAGTTCTAATCGACCCGAGCCTAAGAACCTGTCTGGGAGTACTCACCGTTTACATCTAGAGCCAAGAAAATTTCTCTCTTCTCTGTTGGGAAGGAGACCCNCTTCTCAGAGGCCTACAGGAGCCTGACAGATGATGGCCAATAGAAACAGCCAGATAACATTCCTCCAGTGAATTCTGCTGGACTTCATTCTATTCTGTCACCAGCTGCTCCATACTGAGACTTGTGGGGTGGGGAGGGCTGATGGTTAAACAAAAGGGATTAGTAAACCTGGAGTCATAGCTGGTTTTGATGGGGGGGGGGTTCAGGATCAGTTCGGGCACTCAGTTGTGTCTGACTCTTTGTGACCCCATGAACTGCAGCATGCCAGGCCTTCCTGTCCATCACCAACTCCCAAAGTTCACCCAAACCCATGTACATCAAGTCGGTGATGCCATCCAACCATCTCATCCTCTGTTGTCCCCTTCTCCTCCTGCCCTCAATCTTTCCCAGCATCAGGGTGTTTTCCAATGAGTCAGCTCTTTGTATCAGGTGGCCAAAGTACTGGAGTTTCAGGAATGTCCATAACTGGTTATATATGACAATGTAACAAGCCTCTGCTGCATCGACTTTTATTAGAAACTGCCCCCAGCTGTACTCAGTACGGATCATCTTTTCTGTCTGTTGTTCTGCTGCATAGAGTGCAGGTGCATGGTTGCAGGACAACAAGCAGCCCATAGACCCTCCCACTGTGGGCCCTCAGCAAAATTGAACAAATCAATGTCTTTTGATATAGACATAAAACTGCCTACCATGCACAGAATGAGTATCATATATGATAAATAATCAGTACACCAAAAGCTGCAGTAAAGTAAAAATGGTCAAATAAAATAACAAAATCCAAATACGATGGAAATTCCTCTTGGGCTAAGCAAAGACACATAGACNATTCATCTGAATCCATCTGTGGGGATTTGGCCTTTCCTGGCCCATTGTGAACAATGGACTCCCAGGACTGGGCCATATCACACACTCACAAACATCTGAGACACATATCTGAGTCACGTGTCTGAGCCTCACTCATCCTCTTCACTGGAACCCACACCCAGCTGTCAGTGTTTCTGAGATAGAGCTCCACAGTTTTCAGTGGCTTCAGCACAGCCAAATTGAAGGTCTACCTGGACCCGTTGTGACAGCAGGTGACCTGGGGGCAGGAGTGGGGAGCGGCGTGGACTCTCACCTGGCTGATCCCCAGAGAGAGCCCCGTGGAGCTGTGTCTCCACCGGGAGGGGCCGGGGAGCCGCTGGCTCTGCCCTTGGGACACAGTGCACAGAGGGACTGGGAGCTGGCAGGTCTGAGTGAGGGACCATAGGGGTTCTCTGCAGCGCTGTGGCAACTTTCTGCTAAAGATTAAGATAGCTGCAAATCATTTGGTTAGGGCAAAGAGAAAAACGTGAGCAACATCCTCTCTGAGTCACTGATGGTCGGACTGCTGAGAGGACAGGACAGAGCCTGAGCCAGGGTGTTGGGCCCAGGAGAGGTCAGTGTCCCACCTGCCAGTGGCCAGGAGTCTGGGCCCAGTGAAGGGACCTGGTGGTCCTCAGTGCGCTCGGCTCCGCCATGAGACACCACAGCCACCTGAGAGGGTGCCTGGGAGGGCGGAAGGGGTTATAGTGCACTAGGAGCTCGCTTAGGAAGAGCATGTGGACAGCAGGTGCACAGTAACTGTGTGTTCCCTTTCTGGTTTGTGAACTACTGTGATCCTGAGAAAGCCTTTGCTTCTCTGCTCCTCAGGGAAGAATGAGAAATAAGAAAGAAACTGCTTCCAAGGTGAGAAGGCAACAACTGATTGATGGACAACTTTTATATGCCCAATATTATTTTAAAAGGAGTCAAATAAAGTCTGATACATAATGGAGTGCATGGATTGTGGTAAGACAAGTTCAACCATAAGCTGGTAACTGTAGACCATGCCTGACAAAGACGGGACTGTTCTGTTATGTCTACTTTTGTGTGTTATTGAAATTTCGGATTTGAAAAAGAATGATAGGAGAACACAGGTCCACCTGGAATAATAGCAGCTGAATCTCTCAACATACAATTCCAAGGCTACAAACTCACAGAGAGCGTCAAGGACACCATTCAAAACCCTGCCCCAAACAACCAGGGGCCAGAGCCCACTGTGGACGTGACTTGGTTTGTATTCAGCTAGGTCTGCGAGCCACACAGCAGCGGAGGGGTCAACAAAGACCCTGCATATAGAGGAGAGCACGGCAGGGAGGAGGACTCCGCACAGAACTCGGGTAAAATAACTCACAGAAAGAGCATGTGGGTGAACTCAGAGGATGTCTGAGACATGGTTGGCCCTAGCTCTGGCGACTGGGGAATTGATAGGAAAGAGTTCACCAGTGTAGAGGACCAGAGGGTGACAATCTTGAGGGGGCATAATTACTGGGATCAGGTTTGAGACCAAGCTGAAGGGAGCATCCTTTGGACACTTGTGATGAAAAAAGAATGGTGCAACTGGCAGAAATGAAAGGTCCTACTGGAAGAAATAGAATCCCCAAAGCAAGAGACACACCATGCCTTACCCCCAAGCCTTAGCTCTGCTAGAGTAATTGCACAAGACAGACCTAGAACAAAGAAATCAACCAAGCTCCTCAAAGCACTAATCCCTTCTGACCTGCAGCAACTGTTTCTCATTCAAGTAAACCCAGTCATGTGAAAATGAAAACTATATAGCAGAACTTTCTTTCATGATGACAGAAGAAAAAAGTGTAAAATGAGAGTCAAAAATTTCAGCAAATGAAAAGATTGCCTCAAAATCAATCAAAGAACATTGGGAAATGTAAAATGGCATCCATATTTTGAATTGTTTTGAACAAAGCATTTGTAGATACATGCACATGGAAAAACTTCAATATGTTATGTAAGAAATACAGAACATGAGATAGAAGTAGACAGGAAAGAAGAAATGAGAAATTG